GATGAATCCTACTGCATATTGTTCGTTAGGTTGCCCAGTCCACATAGTTGCTTTTCTAACTGATGATTTGTGTTGATATTTGTCACTCCATCCTTCCAAAAATTATGTTTATCTTCTTGTTCATTTAATACTTCTGACTTGAGTGACTCTTACTACCCTAAAATAACATTCACATTTTTTAAAAAAAGCACTAAATACTATACCTTTTCATTTTATCTACTGCATTTACATTTGCATTCTTCTTTACCAAAAATTCTACCATTTCCTCTTTTGTTCCACTTACAGCAAGTAAAAGTGGAGTGAGGTGATCCTGTAATACAGCAAAATCAATTTATCATTCACAAAATTTCATATCTCTTAATTGAACTGAAAATTTGATGTAAGATCCTATGAACTTAAACATATCATACAGAAAGGAAATGAAAGGTAGTTTCATCCTCTCGCCCCTCTGTGCTTTCCCATGTGCTGCTCCTTCCCTTAGAAACTCCTCTCCTCTCCCTCTCCACGCTAACTCCTGCCATCACCAAAACTCATTTCAAATGTTTATGGGTTCCAAGATTCTTTGTTTCTATCACAACATTTACCATGGTATATAGTAGTTATTTTATTGTTTTCCATCCAAATCAAGAACTTCTTGAGGGCAGGGATTGTACCTTTTATCTCCACATTCCCAAACCCTAAGATGTAGTAGTAAATGCTTCAACTATTTTTATTGAATTAATGATCTCAATTATTGTACCTACAGCAATGTTTTTTAAATGACATTCCAAAGAGTATTTATTTATCATAAGTTAAAGATTGTACCCCAACAGAAAGACTCTATGACAATTATGCTAGAGAAAGGGCTCAAAGCTGTGTATCATATGTCCAGTATTAAAGAAATCTCTCAAACTTTGCCTAATCTCTATTTGGCAATACTTTTTTTTGGCAAAGAACGTGTGAAGAATTTAATCTTCAGAGATAGTTTTGAGAATTTTCCAGTGAATGTGGAGGTTTCCTCCAGGTGATACAAACTCATGTGATTCTCTTCTATCAGTGGTGCAGGATCCCAGGTGCCAATGTCAGGCACTCCTTCTCCAAATGGATCACTTAGGAAATGGGCTCTGAATAAAGGAGAGAGGTGTCAAATGAACTTCAAGTCCTTATCATTACATGGTCCATGTTGTCTCTCCTGTGACAAGATGAAAGATGTTTATCTTACCTGTTAGAAGGCTCAGTATGACTTTTCTCCTCAATTATAATGACAATCCTGGGATGCTAATGCATATCTACTTTATTATACTCCACTGGTATTCTGATTTCCATTTTAATTGGTACTTA